CACTTTTAACGGTTCGAAACGCGAAATAAATTAGTTAACTTATTTTTAATTTCATTATTTTAACAAATTTTTTTAACTGCGGCTTCAAGTTTCAGAAGCTTTACAGCAGCAGTGGTGACGGTGAGACTACTAAGTAATTGTAATTGTTGATTGTAGAAAAAAATATCTGGGTCTAAAAATGAAATGTCCAAGTCCACCGCCTTTCTCAGCCCCAGCAGTAATAGAAGGGCTAAGCTTAAGTAGTAATAAATCTAAGAGTGACGTCACAAGTGGCCACGGCTGGCCTATAAATAGATCACGGGACTGCAAATACACCCTTTTTGCGACAACCGTGTTCGCTTCTAGTGATGGAGAATTTCGTCAGAATTCGATAAAATTCACATGTTTATATAACTTATGAAATAATTTAAAATTAAAATTACAGACGAGTACGAGACGTGCCTACTTTTAAATTAACAGATATATTTTTGGTAACCATGAAATTTGGTTAAAACTGTTTTTTAGGTACAGTACAATTATTATATAGTTATTAAAAGCTAATAGATAAGATACTTTCCGTAGTTTACGCGAGTAGTACACATTTAAATAAAACACTTTAACGGTTTAAAACGCGATATATAACTTTATTAGAAAATTATTTTTGACTTCGGCCTGACGTTTCGGATGCTTTGCAGCAGTCGTGGTCATGGGGAGACAATTTAAAATAAGTTTAACTAAATATATCGCGTTTACACCGTTAAAGAGTTTATTTAAACAGATAGATTAGCTTATGTATAATAAAAATAATATTGTACATAAATAGAAAACATTATTTAATGTGAAAGAGATAAAGAAATATACTACAACTAAGTTTTTGTAACTTGGTAAATTCCCGTATATGATAGTGTATTAAACTCATTTGTGTGGCTATAAAATGGTAACTATTCATTTTTTTATCGATGATAAATGTCATCACTACGATTTTATTTAATTTGCCAAGGGCCGCACAGGGGCTTTGTTTGTGCGAACAAATTGGTGCCTGATAATTGGCTTAAGGACCTGTACGTATGGCTGCAGTGCGAGCGATCATATCTAAACGAAATAATTTTTAGCCTTTGACTTTAGAATTATTATTTTTTTGAAAAAAGAAGGTTATACGAATTGCATAGCTTAATACATTTTTTAATTTTGACCGCTTTGTTAGCTAAATGGTCAAACGCGTTACGCACCAAAAGTCCAGGCTTCGACGGTCAGGAAAATAATATATAATCTCGATCGGTCGTGGGCCTCATGGCCACAGCAGTGTGTTCGTACCGTGCACAAGAGTATAAAAAAATATATATATATATATATATTTTTTTTTTTTTTTTACATAATATATATATATATATATATTATGTAATAATGAAGTAGGTTGCTATGTTGAGGAATTATATAAATAAAAAAATAGACTTACGAGTAGAGCATTGCGTGGCGTCACGTTTTTAATCGCTATCAGTAACGCCGAACTCTCACCGAAATTACCTACATCGTTGGGATAATTTTTAAATCGAGTTTGCAGCAGACTAATTATTTTCGGCGGAAAGTATATTAGATGTTTTGTACATTATGTGTTTTTTTGCGTAAAAAGCGGTTAACATGACACAAATATCCTTCGTTTTTGTTTCAACCGTACTACTGTACTACTGCTGAGCTCAAATCTCGATTTGTAATAGAGGGCCCACCAAGCTGGTTCAATGCAGATTGACAGGCCTAGTAAACTTGGTAGTCACTACACCACCAGATTAGAGGGAACATTCGGGTCCGACTACGTCGTTACCGAGCTCCCCGAAGCAATATGATGATGCACTTGACTTTTTTAAAGAATTATGCAAAGTGCCAAAGTAACACTTCGGTTTGAACGAAGACTACACTAGACTAACGAGGCAGCAGTAAACATCGTTGATTCGTTTAAAAATATTATGATTGTTTGATAACGATAATTGCATGAACATTTATTAATGTATTTACTTGTAAACCAGTAATTTTTGAAAATTAAATAATGGTAATATAGTTTTTTCAACATTTAAATTACCTTTCTATCTACCTACAGCTGAGTTTTCATGTTTTGATATGAAAAAACATAGATAATATAAAAACATTTCACTAAAATGCTTTTCCCCAAAAAGTGTCTAACAAGTTTAGCACATGCCCAAAACCGCATACTACAACTATCCTAGTCTATCTAAAGAGTGTGAGCGAGACAAACAATCCTCTTTCGTTCAATTATCCAATTTGTAACAGATGGTGTCACCATGAATTGAAGTCGATAATTTTTATTTGGCTATTTTGCATCACTAGCGTTTACGGGGTATATAAGAGTGGAGAGAGCTTTTTAATAAATTTTTTTATGCTCACTTTGATATTTTAGATACTCTAATTGTAAACATTATTAAAATATATTTTATCGTGCTGTTAGTTGACGGTGCCGAGTGAAAAAATAAATAATAATCACTCAAAAACTAAATAAATAGTAGAAATGGCGTCAAAGGTTAAAAACAAATAGATACAAAAACATAGTTTACGCCATTTGTATGACATTTTTTTTTTAAGTATTTTCATCCAAACATCGCGAGAGGTGCATGTAGGTTGGAAAAGGTTGAAAAACATTGACGATGACGTGTAGAACTCGGTAGCTCAATTGGTTACAGCGATAGCATGGACCGCTGTGAGCATCCACAAGTAAGGTTCAAGGCCAAGGCAAGCAATCGATTTTTAATTCATTTCATAAATTAAATACCCTCAAAAAAGGCCTCATGAGAGTTAGATTACATGAAGCTTGATATTGAAAATAACACATATATTACAATCAACTGTCAGTTTACATCATTGCTATTATCAATCAGTGTGCATGTCACCGTTGAATTTGTAACTGATCGATTATGGATATTTAAAGTTGACAATTGAAGATTGATTACTACGAAATGCTCTGTTTATTACACGGAGATAATAGGTTTTTACGGTATTTATCTTGAGATAGGTGAATTTATCTCAGTGTATTTTATCTTTAATCTAGAAAACTGTGAATTCCCCACACATTGTGAAATAATTCTGGATATCAATTTGTATCAGTAGTTTCAATCGTTCAATTTCTAATTACTGTACTACTCTCTTACAGAAGAGAGGCTTTAGGAGTTCTGCATCATCATCAGCTGCACCAGTGTGCAGCTGATGACGCATTGATAGCCTTCAACAACTATTAAGCTAAATACTGTCTATAGTTTACGCGAGTAGTACACATTTAAATAAAACACTTTAACGGTTTAAAACGCTATATATTAGGTCACGGGGAGACTGACCGCGGCTGCTGCAAAGCATCCGAAACGTCAGGCCGAAGTTAAAAATTTTTCAAATAAGTTTCACTAATATATTAAGTTTTAAACCGTTAAAGTGTTTTATTTAAATTTTCATCTTGTTTAATCTTAAACGCTAAATCAAACATTTTTTTTTTAAATTTTCATATCTTTATGTATATATTGGTCTTTACTGTATTTTTTGTATGATTATTAGAATATAGAAATTGAACGGAAATTCGAGACATCGAATCGTAACGTGATTTATAAAAAGCCATCTCTATATCAGATAGCAGATAGCGTCCCCCAAACTTGACTAATAGTTAGGGTCAAACCGGGCATTTTATTTAAGTACAGTAAATTCGATAGATTATATTTATTTGAGGGGTGTTAATGCGTTTTATTTATAATGTTTAATGTGAGCTAATCGCGTAGACGCACATGTTATTTGTGTAACAATTATCTTGTTTGTGACAGCCCTGCGCGTGAGGATTATAATTACCATTATAATTGATCTATGTGGGGATCTGGAAACTGTGACGTGTAGTGAATTTAATGAAAAATCAATAGATTTCAAGTTTTTTATTTTCAGAGAAGTGTTACATCCCGTAAATTCGTTAAAGGGCTTTCACATGTCGTTTTGCCACCCTAGTTGTATTTATTAGTGTTATGAATTAAATTGATATATTTTACGTTTTAAACCGTCAGTTCATCAATTGTTTTATTTCATTTGTGCGTAAAGGCCTACGCCACGACCATATAGCACTGTTACTTAAAAATAATATATACATGGTCTAATTTTTTATACTTTTGTAAGAACATAAAATTCTTGTCAAAATAATTTACCGACCCCTAAAGAGGAGCATAGTGACAGGTGTCAAATTTGCACAGTGCGTTCGTGTTGCAGCCTCCCCAACCCTTCATTTACTGGACTAAGCTTGTGGCCTGTTTGATTTATCAATTCAGAATAAAACTATACTGTAAACAGCATTTGTATATTTGAAAGGGTAGCTCGGGTGGACATCAAAAGAAGTGGCGAAGAACAAATATTGCTTGAATAGACGAGAGAAACATTCTAATACTAGGTACACATTCTTACGTAGCTTTGGTAATTTATTATAAGACAATAAGACAATTAAATGTTTCTGGATATTAAGGGGTATATATAATTAAAAAAAAATTGCCTACGTAAGAAAAAATGTCTCCTTATGCTTTTCTATAAAACCCAACTGTTATTTATACTGTGTTTCTTCATTATAGATACTTTGATAGGCACCGTATTATATTTTTATACATAAAATGTTTAAATAAAACACTTTAACGGTTTAAAACGCGATATATTAGTTAAACTGATTTGAAAATGATTTTTAACTTCGGCCCGACGTTTCGGGTGCTTTGCAGCAGCCGCGGTCAGTCTCCCCGTGACCTAATATATCGCGTTTTAAACCGTTAAAGTGTTTTATTTAAATGTGTACTACTCGCGTAAACTATAGACAGTATTTACATAAAATGTTGTTTTATCTAGAAGGGGCCATGTCTATCTAGGAGCCAATTTACTTTGGCAAGACCCGAGTTGTAATTTTTCGTAAAGTCCTTCCGCGACATTGCTCTATTCATCGGAAGAGAAGACGTGAAGCTTTATTTATTTATCATTTTACAAACTAATTTCAGTATATATAATTTACTTACCGCCCAATTCCGGTATCCGATGATAAAACATCCCCGTCCTTGCCAACCATTCGAGCTGCATGTGATGCAGAACTCTATCCCCAGGGTGATGGAAGGCTGAAGGCATGGGGCCCTGGGGCATGGGGTTTACTTGAGGATAGTTGAAGAGCGCTGACTGGGCCGCTACCAGTGCGGGGTTTTGGGGTAAGAGACCTGGTTTCGGCACGATACCTGAAATAATTTGTAATCATTATCTTCTTACATAAGATCTCATTTTTAGTAGAATGTAGATACCTTGTGTTCAAAGCACCATAGAGTTTCTTAAAGCAAGCTCGAATTTTATGCATGCCTAAAATTTCTTACAATTAATCTCATTATATCATTTAATCCCTAATAATGACTTAGTCTCATAGGCTACTTACCAGGTCTATAACTTTCATATTCCTCTCCGCCACCTTCAACTCCTGGGGAAATAGGCGGACTATATGTCTCAGATCTGTTCCCCTCCTCAGACCCTGGAGACAGACTTCTACTGCTCCCACTCTTGGGACTCTCACTGACTCGCTCCCTCTCGAATCCCTCCACATTTTCCTGATACTCATTGTACCTTGTGATATAGTTCTTGTTCATTAGCGCCATATATTTTTGAGTTTTCTCGTCGTGTTTTGACAGTAAGGCGTCTATGCAGAATGACTTCTTTTGAATGACCGTCTTCTCGTCTGGTTTATAGAACATCTTGGGGCTGCAAGATCTGCTTTCCGAGTCCTGGTCTATTTCAATGTGCTCAGAGCCTTGGTCTTGGTACATTGTTGGGTGTTTAGTTAGCCTGAAAAAAAGGGTAAATCAAATATTGTCTATAGTTTACGCGAGTAGTTAAATTAAACGGGTGACTAAACGATCCCTATAGTCAGATATGCTACACTAGCGCCACCTGATTTGGTCTGATCTTTACTGCTGTAAACCATTCAGAATCTTAGGTTAAAAATAACTAATATATTTATGTGTTTTAATAATTTTATATTAAGTAGTTGTCTCTAGCTTGTGCGTGTAGAATACAATGAAATAAACACCCTTAACAGTTTGAAACGGTACATCAACGAGGCAGATAAATAAGATATTTACAGTAGCAGCGTACGTAAAAATTTATTTCATAATTGTTAGTCATTAACCTTTCCGTTGTTTGATGTTGTTGTCTGTGACTAAAAAACATAGATTTCTAATCAAATTAAATAATTTATTCCACTTACAAATAAACCAAAAAAGTTAAAACATGAAATAACACTACTTGGAAATTAGATGTATGTAGTACATACATATGTAATAAACTCACAAACATTACAGATGAAGTTATAAATGTACAAAATATATACCGATTTTTACAAATAAAAAAAAACGAAATACAGAAAAAATTGTCATATAATATAGTAGGCATTATTTGAAGTATGCCTATATTTAAATAAAACATTTTAACAGTTTAAAACGCGATATATATTAGTTAAACTTATTTGAAAATTATTTTAACTACAGCCCGACGTTTCGGATGCTAAGCAGCAGCCGTCGACACGGCGACACGGTAGACTTCCCGTTTTAATCCGTTAAAGTGTTTTATTTAATTGTGTATTACTCGCGTAAACTATAGACCTGTATTACCTATATTCCAGTTCCATCGGTGAACTATGTCTATTTTTTTTCTATTACTTAATTTAGTCTGTGAGACCTAATCGACGCGTGTCGCCACTTAACTCGCGTCACGCCTGACTTTTATTAAATTGACAATCACTGCGTTATTGCCTTTATCGTATTCATTAAGTATATTAATTTATTTTATCTAAACTATCACGGTTCATCGTTTTTAGATCCGGTAATTAAAATAATTTAGTGACTACACTAGGAAGCCATTCCATTTGATTTTATTGACATTTGAAAACATTTTAATATTTTTTACATGTTGCACATGATGGCACTGTATAGATTGAAAATAAATTGAAAAAAAAATTGACTCGGGCAGGACTTGAACAGGCATCGTAATCGGTCCGTGCTGTTGCTCTGGTTGCTGGAACGCTGACGATGCCGGTTTGAAATCCCGGCCCGAGTCATTTTTTTTTCCATTTATTTTCGATTTTTAATCTGTACAAGCCATAGACTTTAAAAGATCTATCTTGAAGAAATTCGAATGATGTGTAGGACTCGATACCTGGTTAAAACGGCACGGAACTCTGTGGTAATATTTCCATCGCATCGGAAGTGTTTTTAAAATGTAGATGAAGTTGTTATAAATACATAAATAAATATGTTTTTCATCATCTGGACATCGATTGATTGGTATTGTTTCATATTTTTATCACACGATTAGACCTGTTTGAAAATTTCCCCTGGAAGGGGTGGGGTAGAGACATTTAGTCAGTTTAACTAATTAATTAAATTAATTATTAAATTCATTAATAATTAATTACAGACAAGTAATTCATATAATTGATCGTGTTCGCGGTATTCAAAACCAGGTCCAAAAAAATCAGTTACGCAGGCGGTGGCGGCGATATTTATGAACATAATATATACGGCGATATATATTATTTATTATTATTAAAAAATATGCACTACTAAGAGAACTATTGGTGTCGGATTAGTTTATCGTGTAACAATGGGACTATTAGCATTAAAATTTAAATAAAGGTTAGTTGCGGTGTGCATTTAATCTGATGTTGTTTATGGTTTACGCATTTAAATTAGTACACAATTTAAAAAAACCTTTTCAACCGATTAAAACGCGAAACATATCATTTAACCTGTTTTAAGTTTATTTTTTCTGCGGCGATTCGTAGCGACGTTTCGGATGCTTTTACAATCTGTATCTCCACCGGACTAAGTATAAAATTTAACTAAAAACATTTTCCGAAAAGTAATCACGGAAAATGGCCTTAGGTTATATGATATTATTTAATCCTGTACGCGAGTACTGGTTTAAATAAAAGACTTTTAACGATTTAAAACGCGAAATATATTAGTGAAACATGTTTGTCCTGCCGTGAGACTGCTGCGAAGCATTCGAATCGTCGGGGCGTGATTAAAACAACTTGTTTTAGTTTAAAAGTTCATCTAATAATATTTTACGCTATACGCCTTTTAAAACCGTTAAAAGTGTGTCATTTAAAATATTATGCACTGGGTCTACGCCGTAGTAGGCATCTACGAAAGGCGGCACGCGCGTTTAAATCTTTTGTTACTGATTTATTTTAAGGCATTTAATTATTTAGAATATTACATATTTATTGTCTACAAATCTGTGAAATAATTTAGGTCACAGGTATTTAAAAGGCCTTATTTGATATAGTGTTTTACACTGGACTTAGATAAAGATAAACATTAAGGAGGAGGCAGGTATTTTTTTATTTAGATATATATGAAGAACGCTTTGTTATTATCAATACTACAAGTATCAAATTATAATTATTTATAGATTTATTTACATTTAAATAAAAGCAAACAATTGGCTATAACATTTAAGTATTGCTGTAAAAGAAATAAGCCTTATGTTCAGATATATAGAGGTTCTCTTGTTTGTTTAATTTTTATGACGTGAAAAAATTTTCGAATGAGAAGATTAGCATTGGCTATCTAGTAATAATAGATGAAAGACCGCATCTATACAAGAACTAAACAAGACGCGCAGTCGATTTTGCCTTAGGATATCTGGAAATTAAAATCCGATTAAACTTATATATAGATTTTCTTTATTCGTACAACCGTTTAATATCCAGATTTCCAGACGAAATCCAATATGTTTCAGATTAATTATAAGTTAATTTACCAGGTGGGGATCGAACGATCCGTGCATTATTAACTTAACATTGCTACTATTAAACCCTACAGTTTGCCCAAATATTTGCGCGAAACAGAACATATTTCCGATGTGTTTTTGTCATTTTATTGTTATATAATAATTTATTAACAGTGTGAAAAAGATAATTAAGGCACTTACTAACTTAAGTTCACGGACTACTTATAATTAAGAATGTAATAAGGTTAATATTGGTTCTATAACCCTTATTTAGTTTAGTGGAATTGCAAGAATGTGTCTGTTAATTTAACTGCAAAAAAAAATTGTAATACGTATCATTGCTATACAATTGAAAGATTTAAAAGCCTGATAAAAAGATATCTTACCATAAACCCACAAACACAGAACACTATCAACCACATATATAAAACCTCCACGCAATTCACAGAGTCACAGAAAAAAAAACAACGAACGTCAATTGTCAAATTTCCCGCGCGCTACCGGCTCGGCGCGAACGTCGCTAACAACTGGATTATTTCATTATGCTCGGTATCACGCATTATCTGGCCATATCTTATCGTGTGTGGACATGGGCGGTGCTAGCCGATATTATCTGAGCTCGGAAACGATCTGGCGAACAGAAACAGATGGTTCAGCGAAGGTTGGATGACGCCCCACCACGTATTGTTGTCCCGCTCTGGCGTTGTCTATTCTTTTTGCGCAGTTTCGTATTAACCGCAGCTTCATGTTTGAAGTTTTGAGAGATCGATGTTTTTCATTATCACGCAAAAATAAAGACAAATAAAACTGGGATTGTTTTAAATATTTTGATTTAACTCTTCAAGTGAAACGTTGTTTATTTGAGGTATTAGGCACTAAATATATTTTATTTAAATAAATTTTATTCTACAAGATTTTTTTGGCTACTTCATATTTCTGTTAATTTAATAATTTGGATACAAAAAAAGTAATATACCTAGAAGATAATTAATATTTATAATAACAACTAAAAAGTTACTTACGCTCACTACAAAAAAAGATTCGTAGTCTATATTTATTTAGGTTTTTATTTACATGAAATAATTTCCGCAAATAAATGTTATCGAACTTAATCTTTTAATATACAGTTTGAATTTCTAACTGTATATAATTAAAACGTTAATTTATTTAAAGAATGAAGTGCTATTTTTCGCAGTGAGGCGCATCCACTTTTCTGTGTCCGTTTTTCTTATGACTAGTAGTGGTTCAGTTATCTGAGCCCTACTTGATCAAAACTATTTTTGTGCGACAGATCCGAACCCATGATCGTTTGCTAACCACGCTCCAAAGGAGATCAAAACAGAAATGTATCTAAAAGTAGGCCATAATTGTTTACGACTAAAAACATAAAGCGCCAACCTAACATCTAATCAAATTAGCGTCCCGTCGAAGTCGGTTATTAGTGGGCAGCGATAAATCAAAAGACGATACCGAACAGACTGCCATCTTTAATTCTGTAATTGAAGCACAAACCAGCTACTAATCTATCTAATTTCACCTAATACAAAGTGCACTCTACCCCAACCTAACCTATAAATATGTCAAAGAAAACTCCCTATACCCGTCCTTGTTTAACTAGAGCGAAACGAGCATCCGTCTCGCTCGCACGACCACGCGATAGGTCCAAAAAGTTTCCACTCCGCCCCTCGTTAATAGACAATAGAGTTGAAAAAAGAAAAACAATGTTTGTCTCGTTTTCTCGTGAACGTTGTTTTAAGTAGGAATTCTTGGCGTAATAAAATTTCGCCGATTGCAAGCTGTAGCAAATTGGATTACGTCGAAATTGGCGATTTTTAACGCAGCATAGCGTTTATAGTTGGGAAATTGCTTTTCTACTCTACTTTTTGCTTTTTCTTGCATAAAATGGTGGTTTTTATTCTTATGTTGGAATTAATAAGTGTTTTTCTTTCCCACCTAAGTATTTGCTTGTTGATATTTTTCTGTTAAGAACCTTTCGCTTGATGTTATTATAGATTCGTTTGAATTCTCGTTGAATCATACCTAATATGTATACTTTGCCCTGGTTTTAGCTTTATCCTCATTGGTTGAACACATGGAGCCAAAAAAAGTACCGTTTCGACCTTGTTGATTGTAGGTTTGATCAACCTGGTTGTAAAATCGAGCAGTCAAATAAAAAGGTTTTTTTTTTGATAAAAATGTCTAAGAGTATGCGGTTTACTTCAAGGATGCTGAAATACTTTATACTTTTGGCATTGAAATTCGGAAATCCATAGACTAAATTAGGTAAACTTCACGACTTTTTCATTAGTGGTCCGTACGTAATTCATACCACATTATATATTTAATGATTATTTCCAAAATTTTTTTGTTACGAAAAAAATAACATTATTTTAGCAATACAACCAACCAGGTGGGACTCAAACCCACGACCCGTTGATTGATCCACACATTGCAATAAATTGACAAGCAAGCGCATCAATCCGAGATGGCGCTAGCGTAGCAGATTTAGTTTGAAATTTGTGACCACCATTGCTGGATAAAAAACGTCTGGTCGTAGATAAATTAAATTATAAATAAGTTAATTAATATAATTCGCGGCTGAAACCGTTAAAAGTGTTATATATAAATTAAATTACCGACCAATACATATAATAATATGTGAATCTCTTCCAACCAATCTGTTTCTAATGATTTCTGTAAAAAAACTGGATTTTGTTGAAATATCCCTCTGTATCGAATAAATAAATATAAAATGATCCAAACGTATTGATTTATTTCGCCAACCTGTTACCAAAGTATATGTTTGCATACAAATAGGGTGACAATTATTTCGTTCTTCTTAGACTTTTTTAACCCCTACTCAATTAACTGAGTTTCCTAGCAATAAGTTTCCTAATAGAACCTGCTATAGTTTCCTAGCAGTAAGTACGACGTAGTAGGTCCAGGGTTCGCATCCCGGGGAAGCAATAAATTGTTCCAAGCAAATTCAATATATATAATTTAAGTTTAAGTCAAGGGAACGTATAGATTGCCAGTAGGTACCTAACTTATAAGTGAAACGAACACAGTAATGTTTACCCCATATCCCGTAAACTAAACAGCTACGTTGATAGGTATGTTTTTTATAACTTAATAAAAATATTATTGAAATTATTAATGATTAAAATTAAGTAAATAATAAACCTCTATATGTCTACAGTATTCTTTTCGAACATAAAAAAAATCGCATTATCAGCATTATTCGACGAGACTTTAGTATTTAAATATTACAGTTCAACGGTTTAAAATGCGAAATATATTATTTAAACTTATTTTACAATCATTTAACTACGGCCTGACGTTTCTATTTTTAATTTACGAATCAAAACACTTACTACTATTTATTGTTACTTAAGTATCTTCTAAGCCGTGTCCGAGACACATGGTCACCCTACCGGTGCCCGTGTGAAATGCGAACGGCCGCAGTTTATCGCCAAACAAACAAACAAACAGCGTATTACCCGATAGCGTTTGTGGGAACCCTCTAATTACTATATTATTAACTCACACTTCATGCGAACGATGTTAAAATGGCCTATGATAACAATTCTGCATTAAATTTAAAAATAAAAAATCCTATATACATTTAAAATTAAATTTTACGACGTTTAGATACTGTCTGTAGTTTACGCGAATAGCCATTTAAAAAATACTTTTAACCAAAGCTTTTTATCCAAAGCCAAAATAGGTCGATATCGCGGCGCATCTTGGATAGATGCTATAAGCTGGGGTATATCACCTACCATCAAGCGAACCCCATGGTATGTCTGTCCTCCCATTATTAAAAAAAACGCGAAATATATTTAAAAAAATATTTTAACTACTACCAGATGTTTCGGATGATTTGTAGTAGTCGTGGTCACGGGGAGACTAAAGATAGAGGATCGAATGTCACGGTGAGCAACTGCATGGACACTGTTTTGGATGCCGGTTCAAGTCCTCGCCGTGTCGTAAAATTGTTTATCTTGAATTAATAAAGTAGTCTAAAATATTCAGTAACTTATATAATTGGTAGTAATTCATATAAACAACTTTTGAAATACAACACAATAACTTTAATATACAGTGATGATTAAATGTCTTCGCATAATGATTTGTAAAATTTCAATTCAAAGTATGTAATGACGATTTCTTTGGAATTACCTACGTTCGAGTACACAACAAAATTACATTGTATAAGACAGAATAATTCCTTAGATTTAGTTATTTGAACAGATTTGGAAAATTTACAGCTACTTTGTACAATAGTTACGGTTGCTTAGAAGGGATAGCTATAAAGTCGCCGTTTGTTCTTAATTTCCATCAATTTTTTTATATATTTTTTTGTTGTTTTGTTTTGTGACAATAAAGAATATTCGTATTGTATTGTAGTTAAAAGTACGATTTGTGGATAATAGTTTCCCTGTTTGACAAGTAGAATTTTTCTTTAAACATCTTAAAAATAGCAAGATTCCAGTAGTCCGAAAAGTCTAACGACAAAGGTCGACGCGCATCCTGTTATCTTTATTTGTACACTTCTGGCGTGATATGAAATTTATTCTATTTAACAATTCATTATTATGAGTTTTTTTATTGTCGAGTCAGTGTGGATGAAAGTTTCGGTAAGTAAAATAATGCAATCAAGAAAATAGACACAGATATGTGTCTGTTTATGGTAGCAGCACAATGGGTGGCATGGGAGCAGACTTCTGTTTTTAACGGTTTAAAATGTGAAGTATATTGGTTAACTTGTTTTTAATTTATTTTAGCTACGGCTCGATGTTTCGAATTGTTAGTCCTTTGACCATGACTGCTGCGTCAGTGTCCGCAAGGTCGGGGTGTTGTAAAAAAGAGAAAATTGCCATTAAAAGTGTCAAAAGAAACTATAGAAATAAATGTACGTTAAAGAAGGTCAATCGTAAATTCGTCTGATAAAAACGTGATTCGAACAAGTTAAATAGTGCCCGAAACGCAAGATTAGCTTATCGCTAGATAACCGCATCTCAAAACACCGATCCCGGTGAATCACAACGCAATTTCCTCCTCATTTGGCGCGCTGTCATCTGTCAGTGACAGTTTGACAGCTGTCACAGATAACGTCCGTTAAGTATGAATTATTTGGCTTTAATAGTGCGTTTATCTTTTTGATTTGTTATTTATTAGACGACACATTTCGATAAGATTCAATGAGACATTTGGGTGTGTCTGTTTGTTTGGCGTGAGAATGGTGTTTGACCGGAATAACTAGATGGTTGGCGATACATTGCTTCGGATACAAGCCCTTAAATCCTGTCCAGGAGATGGTTAATTTTTTAAGAGGGGTAAAAATTTTGTCTGCTTTATACTGCTTAAACGAAACATCTTAGAACATAATGAAAAATATTGTGTGTTCCTTAAAATTTAACCTAGGAATTTTACGTTAAACATCCTTTTATTTAACTTTTATATTAAATATTTCATTGTATAACGATATATTATTTTCTTTTAAAAATAAATTTAAAAATAATTAAACTCACGCAAATTTTTATCATATCTACCTCCTATACTCCTATAGTGTCAATATTGATGGATTTCTGAAAATATAAAGTAGAAATAGGTCCACGGCGTATCTTAGACGTATTTAATTTTCTCTTAAGCGTCTTTCTTCTCAAAACTAAACTACCGACAGATATTATATTTTTAATGCGGTAAAAAATATGGTTTCCTAATAAAAATATCTAAAGTAAACT